AGGAGAGAAGGTAACAAGAGAGCAGAAGGTTGATAGAGGGGAAGGCAGATGAGGGGAGGGGATAATCAAAAGCAAATACTTCTGAGGAGGGACAGGGTCAAAAGAGAGAATAGAATAAATGGGGGGGTAGGATAGGAGGAAGGGAAATATACTTAGTTTTTCACAACATGACTACTATGGAAGTGTTTTACACTACATATCCATAACCTGTATTGAGATGCTTGTCTTTTTAATGAGGGTGGGTGGGGAGGGAGGAAGGAAGAAAATGTATAACCCAAAGTTTTTAAAACATGTTAAAAATTAAAAAAATTTTTTTTTAAATTACAAATCCTTGATGTACTGAAGAAGTTATATTTGTGATGCACAGGAAGTGTGCCAAAGTATTTGCTGAAATGAAACATACATACAATTCAGCAAAGTGAGTTTATGTTACTTTGGAAAGGCATAGCAAGTCAGACCCTCATCTGGCATTTATGAAGTGCCTAGTACTTGTCAGACACTGTGATAAGCTCTGGGGATACAAAAAAAGGCAAACAACCGCCACCACCACCACAAAGACAAACAGTCCTTGCTCTCAAAGAGTTCACAGTCAAATGAGTCAGGAGATCTGATCTCAGATCCTACCTCAGAAACTTTTTAGTTATGTGACCCTGAACAAGTCACCTCACCCCAGTGCCTTGGTTTCCTGATCTGTAAAATGAAGATACTATCTACCTCATAGAATTCATGTGGCAAAAGTCCTTTGTAAATTTTAAAAAGTGAGCAAATGTGAGCCTATTAATATCAACCACAGGAGCTTTAGTTTTCTTATTCCTAGGAGGAGCAAAATTCCGAGTTTTTGACATCTATTCTGCTAGTGTTGATTCCAGCAATAAAAACAAGGAATATATCTCCTATAGGACGCCCATTTAAAAAAGCTCTTCTTTATAGTTATACCTGCTTTTCTAATGATAAAATGGATTAAATAGTTCTCTACTTTCATAAGATACTTAGATAGCTTAAATATCTTAAAAGACTTAAATGTCATTAGAAGTAGAATTCTTTCTTCTTCTGCCATCATTTTCTTCTACTGCCTTCCTTTGAAGTCTGTTACTAAGCAATCAACAACAGCTAACCCATGTAATGTGTAAAATAATATACCACAGTTCAGACCTTTTCTTTCAGTAATTTTGGACTATTAAAAAAGCAGCATAATTACTTTAATGATGTACTTAGGGAAAGGATTATTCAGAAGAGAAAACAAAGGTAACATTAATTAAAAGGTACCTCAATTTATAACTGTGCAACTAATTTTCTGTATCAGTTTTTCCCCCTTAAAAATTGCAAAACATATTTCATGTTATCTATGTCACTAGCAAAGAATTAGCATGTGAGAATATCAATCTGGCCCTTGCATTAAGAGACAAAGATAAAAATGTCAAAGATGGCCATTCAAATGCAATAACTGAGTCTGTTGTTCACTGTCAGGAATAATTTAAATTCTCTTTACATCCTAAGCTCTGATATCTACTTAGTATAGATGAGTATGTCAAGTGGGATAGGTTAGTAACAAATGAAAAAAATGTAACAGCTTGAGTTTGTCAACTATATCATATCCCCTACCCCACCCTCATTGACCTTGAAATCATTTCAATGGTTCTAACAATGCTTAGGTATGCTGTCCTAATACTCCAGAGCAAATGACAAGGCAATTATACCTTGACTGACACAGTATCAAAAGAATTGTGATTATTCTAGCAAACAGATATTTGCCCCCCACCCTCCTGGCACTCACCCCCACGGCAATACAAGAATTGTCTTATTTTAGGGAAAGGCAATTAAAAATGGCATTGAACTTGGAGTTAGATGACCTGGGCTCAAATTCAGAATCTATTATTTACTGTATACATGCCAATGGTTAAATAACTTCCCATCTCTGGGTGTCATGGATTTGCCATTTGCCTGATAGAGTGAAAAGGATCACTGGCTCTGAAGTCAGAGGACCTGAGTTTAAGTCCTGTCTGTAATGGCCACTACCTGTGTGATTTGTGGCAGATCACTTAAAGTCCCTGGAAACCAGGGTCTCCATCTGTCAAATGAGGAGGCTGGACAACATGGTCTCTGAGGTTCTTAGATCTATGTTCCTATATAGACCACAGAAGAGTTAGTCTAGATGACCTCTAAAATATGAACAAATCACATCTCTCAGCCTTAGTTTCTTCATTTGTAAAATGGGGATAAAAATGAAAAATAGCAACTACCTCACAGGGCGGTTGTGATACATACATATACACATATACATATAGACAGAGATAGATAGATAGATAGATAGATAGATAGATAGATAGATACAGACAGACAGACAGACAGATAGATAGATAGTTTGGAAACCTTGTTGTTCAGTAGTATCTGACTCTTCCTGATCCCATTTGGGGTTTTCTTGGCAAAGAAACTAGAGTGGTTTGCCATTTCCTTCTCCAGCTCATTTTACAGATGAGGAAACAGCGAAGGGAGGGGAGAAGGGGTAAACAGGGTCAAATGACTTGCCCTGAGTTACACAGCTAATAAGTGTCTGAGGAAGGATCTGAATTCAGGTCTTCCTGACATCACGCCCTACACTCTCTCCACTTCACCACCTAGCTGCCTCTTAAAGTGCTATATAAACAGCTATTATTACCCCCCACCACCACCACTATCAGTTTATGGGTCTATAAAATCCTAAAGAACTAGCTGTGTGACCAAGAAAGACACTTAACTCTCTGTCTCAGTTTCCTCTTCTGTAAAGTGAAAGGACTGCATTCAATTCCTCTAAGATCCTTTTCAGCTCTAAATTTAGGATTCTATGGACTGTTGATCAACTCTCAGGATGTTTGCGACATCCATCACAAAAAGTTAGCCACTACTGTACAGAGGCACCAAAGGCCATGCTTTAAGCTACCTAAAAAATTTCAGCACCTAAAAAAGCAAACAGGAAATGAATGTACATGCACACAAAAATTTTTAAATCTGCAATTCCCAAATATATATTGTTTCTTAAAAATAAAACAGGATTTACTCCATATATTTTCTCCTTTGAAATTTCTAAGGAGATATGTATGTTAATAATGTATAGCTTTTACCTACAGTACTTTGAACCTTTAAAGTGTAATTCAAACACACTAATCATTTCTACAAAATACTTTCATTTACTGCCTCATACCTCTGTCCCAAGACTTGAAAAGCTTTTAACTAGAAGATCCTAGGAAAACTTCCCTCTTTATTATCATAATTGTGCCTTTTACATTCCTGTTTTGAAAATCCTAGAAGGAAAGAAACTGAGAAAGGGAGAGATTTCCTTAAATCTGTATAAATTCCATTACAAACCATATTCTCCCATGTTTAAGCTTTCAGACATAACTGTTTCATTCCACCTCTGCCAAAACCCCAAATAATAATAAGATGAAAGTCAACATTATCAGAGGCTACAAAATGATAAAATTCATAGGTACCACTCCTTTCTTCCAAGGAAGGAGGAAAGGGACTTCCTGAGATAAAAGTGGAAAGCAACTGATATTTACTTATCAACATCTTTGCATTGCCTGCTATTCATCTTATCCCGGCAAGGGTCCAAGATTATCTGAGGTACTAAAGTAAACTGCATGATGTTTAGAATGCATTCAGACACACCACACATTCCCCTTCCCTTCATACCATGCAGCAACTGTCAACATAATCCAATGCAAATTGAACAAATAAAAATCTCAACTTGCAGGAGCGTTCTATCAGAATCCCTTTATAGAATGTTTTGTTTGTTTTGTATTAAGGATGCCTCCTGGGGACAAAGTAGATCTAGTCAAAAATTATAAAGGCATAGTGTAAAAAAAAATTAAAAAACGATACATGTTATGGCTGTCAAAGTCTACTATGAGAAAAAATTTTTTTTACTTGATACTTTAATTTTTTTCATGATTTTTTCAAACCATAGATTTAGAGCTTTTACAGATAAAGAAACTGAGACCCAGAAAGAAAAAGGGACTTGCCCAAGGTCACACATGTAAGGCAGTAACGTGGCAGTGCTACTAGCTTTAGAACCACGATCTCGTGACCTAGCGTTCTTCCCACTCCAGCACAATGTCTCCCCAAATGCCCTACCTACTTTGACAGGTGTAAGTCGCTACTAAAATGCTTACTATCTTCTCCCTTTCTCTACTCATAAACGTAAGCTGCAATGCTGACCTGCACAGCTGTTACTCGAAATACCATTTAATACGAAGAGAACATAGTGGATGATTAGCCACACCAGGAGGTTAAAACAAACGAAAATGTAGTTTGTTTCTTTTTTTGGAAAAACCGACATAAACAATCTACATATTCGACTTAAGAGTATCCTCGGATGTACCAAGCAAGGACCAAATCTAACCTAAATGTGTCATCTTGCTGTTTGCAATGTACCATTTACCCTTTTAAATCCCATACGGATTTACTTTTAATGTCTCTCCTACTTTACCTTTGCTCAGTAGGACTCAAGGCTGGGTGGGGCGTAGTACAGAAAGACAGATTTTTTTTTTTTTTTTTTACAATGGACAACGACACATTATCATTTGGGAACAAGAAAAGTAGTAACACTCCACTAGCCCGCCTTACGAGAGAAAAATAAATCTGATTTCCACGGGCGGTAAAAATCCAAGAAGTGAGAGTCCCATTCCATAATTAAGCAAAAAGTGGCCTCTAAACTCTGTCTCCAAGGACACAGGCTCAGGGTTAGGGGGTGGGGGGCGACCTTGTACTTTTCTTAAAAGTATGTGTGTGGCTGATCAAATTCAAAACGAAAGAAGAGAAAAGGTGAGGAAGGAGGTGAAAAGGGGTGAGGGGAGGCAGAAAGAGTAAAAGAAACAGAAGGTGGAGAAAGAGAAAAATGAGGGGGCGGGGAAGAGAAGGCTGAGAGGAAGCAGGAGGTTTGGAGAAAGAAAGAGGAGGAAGAGGAGGAGGAGGGGTGGAAGGCCCATTAAGAAATCTTCAGAGCAAACTAAGTTGATACTTACAGTTTTGCAACTGCAACACCCCCGTGGGCTGCAGAATGGAGCCGAGTGAAGCCGTGTAGGGCAGCAGCGGGGCACCGGGTACTCAGGCGGCTCCGGGGAGCCCAGGCTGCTGCAAAGCTCCTCTGCTTGCCCGGGTGGCGGCGACGGCTGCGGCTGGGGCAGCCCGGCACTCTTCGTCCTCCTTCTCCTCCTCCTCCTACAGCCGCTGTTGCTAAGGCTCCGCTCTTCTCCAGCCAGCGAGTCCCTCCAAGGCTGTAGCACCGGCTTCTCCTCTTCTCTGGGAGCAGAGCTGGGGACTTTGAGGAGGGGGACCCACGAAGCACACACGCTTCACATCCACGGAATGTGTATGTGTGCGGAGGCAATCTGTGGTCCGTGCGTGGGGAAGAACCTCCCCACCACCATTACCTCCAGTCCGGGTGAAGCGACGAGGGCTAAACCACCAGAGCTGCTGCTGCGGCGGCGGCAGCAGCAGCGCAGTGGAGGGGAGGGGGGCAGCCGCCGCCGCTGTTTTGCAGCTGGGATCAAGCAAGGGGGCGGGAGGTAGAGCCTGCGTCTGTCTGGAGCTCTGACTGTAGCTCTGGGGCTGTGCACCAGCAACAGCCTCGGAGGGGCTGCGGAGCAGCGCGGCTCCTCCCCCTCTGCCTGGCGCGCGCTTGTGTGTGTGTGAGTGTGAGAGTGTGTGTGTGTGTGTGTGTGTGTGTGTGTGTGCGCGCGCCCCCGCGCGCACCTCCTGCGGCCTTTCGCTCTCTGGTTACAGTAACTGCTTTCTGCCTCTCTCTCTTCCTATCCTCTGGGCCCTCTCTCCCTCTCCTTTGCCAGGAGATACATTGTAACGGAACTGGGACACTGGGCGCTGCATTGTGGGAGCTTTTAAAGCAGCAGCAGAAGAAGCCAATCACATCAACTCTTCCCCCACATCCCCCCCACTCCCCTCCCAGTCTTACACATACACATCTCTCATTTCAACTTTCTTCAAGCGTCTCTAGTACGCACTCCTCTGCGGCTGAGCCCCACAACCAAAACACATCCCCCCACCTTACACATCTCCCCACCCCCCATCCCAGCCAAGCTCAAGTTTCCACCGCTGGGTCTCAAGCTGTGGCACCTCGTGAATAGGAGAGCTTAGATTTCCCCGAAATGATGAGTGCCATCGATGATAAATGTCTTATTGAAACTCACGAAAGCAAAATCTTCCATCGCCAGAGGGTTATTAAAACTTCCCTCAAAATTAACTCCCGAATGCAGAGACTTCTCCAACACTTGTACAAATACTCACTTCCAAACCTCCTAGAACTGAATCTGAATTGTTTTTCATCTGCAATGACTATGATTCAGTCTTCGTCCTCTACAAACAGGCAATGAATGAGGCAGGAAGGAAAAACATACACGCACAAAGAATGAATCAGACATGAGTAACAAAAGTTCTGAGATACAGAGGAATGTTATTTTTTTTTCTTCTCACCAAACTACCCTCTGAATGAGCAAAAATGCATGGAAAGAAAATACTTATCATTAGAAGATTTGGATGTGCTATTGTTATTATTCGTTGTTCTTTTTCAAAACGTGTTTCAGTCAACCAAGCATGAGATAATATATGTAAGATGTTCTGCAAAACTTAAAGCCGAAATGTTAGCTGTAGTTGCAGTTGGTGGCGTTAGGCAGCTTTATGGTACAGTGGAAGGAATGTTGGACCTCTAGCTAAGAATATCTGCGTTCAAGTTCTCTCAGGCACAATAGCTGTAGACCTGGACAAAGTCACTCAACCTTTCTGCCTCAGTTTCCTCATCTGTAAAAAAAAAGGGGGGGGTATGTGTGTAACAATAGCAGTTACCTCCCAAGGTTGTTGAGAAGATTAAATGTAACATTTGTAAAGCACTTTGAAAATCTCCATTTCTCTCCTCTGACACTGGGCCCATCCTGGACTAGGCCCTCATCATGCCAGAACTATTGTAATAACTTGCTGATTGGTTTTTCTGCTTCATACCTCTCCCCATCCTTTTCATCTTTACTCATCTGTCAAACTGATCTTTCTAAAGCACAAGTTTGACAATGTCATCATCCTGCTCAATAAGCTCCAGTGACTCCCCATCACCCCCAAAATCAAATATAAAATGCTCTGTTTGGCATTGAGAGCTCTTTATAACCTTACCCTCTCCTACTTGCCCAGTCTTTTTATACCCTAGGTGCTTTTCCTTCCACAAGACTCTTGGTCTGTATATATCTTATTTGGACATAGTTTGCACATTGTACAATGTTTGCACATTGTCTCCCCCTATTAAACTATAAGATTTATGAGAAGAAGGTGGGACTGTTTTTATATGTTTTGGAGATGTGGTTTTTTTTTTTGCTTCTACTGGTGTTCTGATGTCAAGAGAAAATGAAGACTAATCCAAGCATGTTGCGTGGCTCCTCAGTGATGAACATGTGGGAGGTTACAGACAGGAAGAAGAAACATACAAACAGATGAGGTCCTTTTGAGGAAGTTGTATAATTCTCCTGACAGTAGATATTTTATAGGGGGGGGAATTATTCAAGCAGTCATATTACCTGACATTTCTATAGTACTTGGAAAATGCTGTATACACATTGTCTCACAACAGCCCTATGGAGTGTGTACTAAAGGTATTATTCTCCTCTTTTTTATAAATGAATAAACTGAGGTTCAGATCGACTAAGTGTCTTGCTCATGGTTATACAGCTAGAAAACATCCAAAGTATGATTTGAATTTATCTCTCCTAATTCAAAATTCATTGTTCTTTTCATTTCCAGTGTGGTGAGAGGGAAACCTAGACAATCCTTTCTATCTTTAGTAAGTCTACTCAAAGAACTCTGGACAATTGTTATTTATAATTCCTTTTCATTTCTGAACACAGGAACATTCACATCTCATCAGCTACTATTATTAAGTTCTGAAAAAAGTTTTTGCTACTACTTCTGATGAAAAAAATTATGAGTGTTTTTTTTTTTAATTAGAACTGTAGGATTTAAAAGCTATAAAGGAACTAAGAGATTATTTGGTCCAAACTTCATTTTATAGTTGAGAAACTTGAAGGCCAAAGAGGGTAAGTGATTTGCCCAGGGTCACACAGATAGTATGTTATATAGCCAGGTTTCAAACTCTAGTTCCTGTAATTCCAAAACCTAAGTGCTTTCCATGATACCTTCCCTACTCACTTTTTTAATTTGGGGTCATAAAAATGAGCGTGTGAGGAAGAATATAAAGAAACATGGTGATCTCAATCTTTCAATACTTTGAGAAGTGATTCTATTGGTGTGGAGAATACCTACATTGACACAAATCTCAACCCCTTTATGACCTAGTAGACAATCTTTAAGAGTTGATCTGGCTTTAAAAATCATCACCCTGTAGCCATTCTGGTGATTAGCTTCTCCAAACCTAGCTAGGCCAGGCCTCAGATGACAGATAGGCAGTTTTTCTTTGGAATCTGGTATATTCAAGAATAATTAACAAGAGTGCAAATCTTGCACAGGAACTAAGGCACTCTATGAAATCTATAAGTCTCATGATTTATTTGGACAGCATAGAAAAAGGTTTTTTTTTAAGCTATCAAGAGCTCTTAAGTTGGCAAGAACTTCAAATAATTAAAAAAGTTGGTAAAGAGTTTATTTTTCCTATTGAAGGGAAAAAAATGCGCTTTATTCCTCAAATGAAAGGCAACAATTTTTTTTAAATGCTCATAAGCAAAGAAAAAAAAAATTCCCCTCTGCCTGAACAATTTATCTTGCTTAAATAAAGGAGTATATTGAATACAAGTGGAAGTACAAATCATAAAGGAAAATTAATAGCAAATGGTCATAGTAAATGTAATCTAGCCAAATGGATTTAGTAGAAGGGTTTCAACTATGGTTCTGACCTTATTTAGGGTAGAAGTTTCCTAAGAGGATAATCTTATGGAAATTGAAATGGTCTTTGTGCTTTTGTTGTTAGTTAAAATAATTGATTCAGTCAACTAAGATTAAATACAAGGGGCTGTACAAAAGCTTATAATAGGATAAGCATGTTAGGCAAAAATTTGCTCGGGGCTCCAGATGTTAGTCAGGTTGAAGAGTTGATCATCCTTGTCTATCTACCATGATCTTTGCAAATCGAAGCACCACAATTTAATAAATGAAATGCTTAGTTTCTTTTAAAAATTTTTAAAATTAATTTTAAACAAATACAAGATGAGAAAAAAAAGTGTTCCATGTACATAGCAAAACATAGGAGAGGATTCAATATAAAACAACAAATTTCCATTTCAAGAAAACCTATGTAATAAATACTATACATTGTTTTCAAAGCTACTCAGCTTTTCTGTGCTTCCTTCTAGGTTTTCTTTTGTTTTCTGCTATGAACTTTTTATTTTTTTTCCCTCCCTTCCCCACCCCTCACCCTAGAGTAAGCTATAATTAAATTCAATATACATATACATACATATCTATAAACATACACACATATACACATATTTCTATGTAGATATAGATGTATGCAAGATGATACTATGCATTTTCTATTTGTCAATTCTTTCTCTGAAGGTAGGTAGCATCTTCTTTCATCAACCAACTTATCATTTCTTAAATCACAGTAGTATTCCATCACAATCATATATATGCAGCTTGTTTAGCATTCCCCAATTGAAGGGCATCTATTATTTTAGTTAATCTGATAGGTGTAAGATGATATCTCAAAGATGTTTTAATTTGCATTTCTCTAATCAATAATGATTGCATTTTTTCCTTATGATTATATTTAGTTGATTTCTTCATCCAAAAATTACCTGTTCATATCCCTTGACCATTTATCACTTGGAGTATGACACATATTCTTATAAATTTGACAAAGTTCTTTATATATTTGAGAAATGAGACCTAAACAACATTAAATACTGTTGGTGACACAGTGTAGTTTCCCAATTTTCCCTTTTAATTAAATCTATTTTAGCTTTTACTTTGAGATCAGGACTACTGCCTCTGCTTTTTTTACATAATTAATTCTACTCCAGCCCTTTATTTTAACTCTGTGTGTGTCTCTCATTTTTATTGTTTCCTGAAAGCAACATATTGTTGAATTCAAATTTTTAATCCAATCTGCTATCTGTTTCTATTTTATGGGTAAATTCATCCCATTCACCTTCAAAGTTATAATTACTTATATATTTCCATCCATCCTATTTTACCCTGTATACCCTATCCCTCCTCACTGTCTTATTTGCTCCCACCCACTACGTTGCCCTCCTATTCCTTAATGTACCCACCCCTCTGAGTTCCTCCTTTATCCTCTCCCTCCACCCTCCACCTTAATGTATTTATCTTTCTAAAGCTTTCTTCCTTATCCCATCTCCCCCTCCTAATTCTTCATCTACACACCCTTCTAAAAGTCCCTCCCTTATCCTATCCACTATCCCTTTTATGTCTTTCTAAACTTGTAAGAGTTTTATACCCTTCTAGATGTATATGTTGTTAACCTCTTTAACCCATTTCTGATGAGAGTAAAGTTCCAGCACTAGCAGCCCTCCATCCCAACTTGCTTCTTCTGTATCAGTTCTTCCTTTCATACCTCCTTTGTACGAGATAATTACTCCTTTTTATCTCTCCCTAAATGTTA